GTTTTTTGGTCAATTACCGATCTATGGATACGAATCGGGGTGCAAGTACCGCAATGCGGTCACTAACTTGCAGTTTCCGAGGTATAGTGCGTTAATATAAGGCGAAATTACAGGGTGCCGCGAGTTCCTTGTACCGAATACCAACATCGCCATGGCCGATGGTTCTCAATCGCCTCCAGGCAAATTTTCTACGACATATGTAACGAGTGTACATAAAGCGAATGAGAACCTGGAAGGCGGATTCTCCTTGCACTTCAAAGGGAAAAACCTGTCTGCGTTGTCGAAACGACCTGCATCCATTCTCAGGCATACCACCCTGCCTTCTTCCGATGTATATGGCGTCTGTTTCGTAGCAGGCACTATTCGAAAAGAATTTCATGCCGCGTAGACATCTAATTTGTCTTATACAACTAAGTCTAAGCGCGTAAAATTTGACGACAATTTATCATATTTTCCTGACATTCCTGGACGATTATTTTCTCAGAGAGAAGCGCTCTTAATTCTATTCCGTGCGGGATCCCTTTCTTTCTTTTCAATTCCGTGCAAGTACTGAATGAATAGAGGACTTCTTGGACATTGAAAGAATTTTAAATAAATTTTCGAATTATGTAATATATGCTTACTACATGTACTTTTATATATATATCTTATATATATCTCTATTTATTACATGTTTTTAAGATTTTTATATCATTTTACATTATTATTAAATTAATATTAATAATAAAACTGACTATTCATTCACAAGTAAAAAATACATTTATTAATATTATTTATTAATAAATTATTGTATAAGAAGAATTAATTTTCTAATTTTTTATGAAAGAATGGAAATATCAATATAAAATACAACTGAAATATATATATCTTGTATATTTCAATTCATGCATATCTCATAGGATCTAAAGAAAAAAAAAAAATGAAAAAAATTAATTCTGGATGGATCACGCAAACAAAAATTTTTCTGTATAAAAATCATCTTCAGCATCATGCTTGAATCCTTTCTTTATTATGAATACAAAGTCAAAGGATATTACACCATCTGGTGTGACTCGAGCAATAAGGAACAAGGAACTGTGTAATCTCTGCCAGACAATATCACCGATTCAAATATACAGGGGGAAAAAAGATTCCAGTATAATTTTTCGCACTTCCCAAGCCGTATGAATAGTAATTTCCTTTTTTTCGATCAGAGCAAATCTTTATTTTGCGTCTGGGTCTCAGGACCGATCTAAAGAATTTCGTGACCTGTTCAACGAGCATTGCATTCATTTCCATATTCTATGTATTTAGTGTTTACGTCTACTTCGTATCCGGTCGTCATATTGAATAGTTGACAAAAGTTGGCAAACTGGTAAATGAACTAGATGTTTAATATTGAACTTACCGTTAACTCTTTTTCATTTTATACAACATAGCGTAACGACAATAAATTGAATAAAGAAAAAACGATATTTTGTTGAAGTTATATGGTAAGAAAAAAAGAAGATATATTAAAGACTATTTTATATGCTAAACATATATAAAATGAAGCATAACAACTTGTTTTTACAAAATGAGTTAAATAATTGTTTATTGTTGATTTAACTGATTACAATATTTAAATTTATTTACCAGTCGTATAAATTAGAAGAAAATGAAATTTAGAAACAATATTGACTATGATAATACTTTTAATGCATGAGATAATAAAAAATTCATTAATACCATCTGTTGATGTACGATTATAAAACATTGATTGATTAACGATAATCAATAATTCATTCATAATTCTTAATAAACGATATTTATTTATTAAAGAAAGTGAAGAAAGTAAAGCGGAAGAAAAACGATTTCATTCAAATTTATGATATTTAAATTCAGGATGCAAAACATTTGGCTTGAAATGTTTTTTTTTTTTTTTTCACATTTTGAGAATCAATCAGTTCTCAGAAGGCAACAGTGAAACTGTGAGGCCTTGCAGAGACTTATATTCCGGATCCCTTCCTTTCGTTTCTTCGTCTTTCTTGCGTCTTCTCTTCTCTTCCGTGTCCCCGACCACCTCCTCAATTCCTTTGAGCTTCTCCTCATCACTCCTCCTGATTCGTTTGTTTTTCTTGCTGCACCTTCTCTTTCTCTGTTTTACTCTTCGAAAAAGTAAAGAGCACAGGTTAAGGCCAATTCACACTGAATTAACAACATTCAAAACAATGCAAGGAATTCGAATAATCGTCATGGATTCTTCAATGTTTCCTGTTGGTATAAAATTTCTTTGTAAGTGGAACCTTTATTTATCTTCGTTTCGTTTTGCGCCAAACATCGAGAGTGATGTTTTTTCTATCTCAATAATGTTGGAGGATATTGATATTTTTTTAAATTTTCAATTTTAAAATTAATTTTAAGGAATAGATATAATTTTAAGGAATTATAATTTATAGAAACAATTTAGTTTTATAGATAGCTAGATTGTTTTTTCTAACATTTCATGATATGTAAAATGTTTTAACAGCTTCTTAAAAAATATATTTTGTAAAAATAATTAACATTTAATTCAATAATCAATAATCAACTATATGAAAAAAAAAAATCGTTTTTAATACTGTATTTAAACTATACCTTTTCAAATTTTTTTTTCGAAGCTGCGATACTATTTATTTACACATAAAAAAGAAATTGAATAAAATCAGTCGTGGTCAAATTAAGTTACTACAGCGAACTACATCCCCTGTTCAATGGCCTGAAATATTTTCTGTTGGGCTATCTACCTCTCTCTTGCATAATACAGCATGCATGACATGCATGACTCCATATTACATATTTACAGCATTTCAGTGTATGTGATTATTATGTAGCAATCTTGAAAATTAGGAAATCCTTTGATAAAAACAATACATACATCAATTATAATTTTTTACCTATTTATTAAACGTTATATATTCATTTTATAAATTTTATATTATTTCAATGAAAATATTTGAGTCAATTAAGATATTTTTTCATTGTAACAATTATAGTCTTATTATATAGTCTTCATTATCAAGAGATTCGCTAATAATCTTCTTAATTTTAATTTTACTAATTGTAAGAGGAACATAACCTAAGATGCAATATAAGACAAATATACATTTCACTCAAGAACATAATATATTTACGAATATAATGTGTACACGCATGCGTATGCAGTATATGTATATACACGTTTGCTGGAGATTGTTCCAACCACAGACTCCGCGGTGGGAAAGTATTTCCGCGAACAACGATGCAGACGCTCCCTGAGGCGTGTACCAAACGAGAAGTATTCACCAAGATTAAAGTAGGTACGTTCTCACAAGCAACGTGCCTCTCCTTTGTTTTCATAACATTGCCCTACTCCTTCCTTATTTACCGTAACATCGCTTTATGATGAAACTAGTACGCGATATATTTAGCGACATTGAACTCTCAAGGTCACTTTGAAATTTCATAATATTTTCCCTTTATTGAAAATCAATCTTAAAGTATTTGTTAATTCTGAATTCTCATTTTTTTATTTCACTATTTTTTTAAATCTATTGTTTTTATGCTTAAGTTAAGTTATATTCTATTTCTATTTTTCATAGCGTGGTCTTACACGTTTGTTCATCTGTTCAATAGTATTTTTTTATGTCTGACCACTTCCTTCGTATCACAATGGCAGACGCAGTTTTATGAGTATTAAAAGATATACAGACTGTTTCTTGCGGGTAACACCTGTATTTGTACTACATGAAAAGGTTGGGTAAGAGAACAGTAGGATATGTACTTTGTGCATTCCCTTATGTTCCAGTAATTATCGTTTTAGGTTGTTATCGCATTTAGGTTAATACATGAAAACACATTTTGACACATGTTAATTTATGATAACCTAAAAATCTAAATTTTGTTTATTCGTGTTACCACATATCATGATAAAAAATTGATTGATAAGTAAATTATATTTAATTTCAATATTTATAAACAATTGAATTAAAAATAATCATACAGGTGATAATTTTTTAGATGAATATCTGGTATGCACAAGAGATAGTCTTCCGCAAAACGATCATATAAGTAAAACGTCTAGATGGGCGGTAGTTCTCATAATTCTGTTAAACCCTTGAAAACGATTAGAAGTAAAACAAGAGCATCTCTGTTTCTTCGTAATATAACATTAAGATTATTCTGAAATGATTTTTCATGCTTCTCTTCGTCTTTGTGTGACAAATACTTTTGCATAATAATTTTTTTTATTAAGAAAATATTTATTGTATAAATATTATTGTTATTATTTATATAAACATTATACATTATACATTATTATTATTATATAATAATATTTAAATTGAAATTTTTTTCGAGATTTAAATAAAAATTTTAACATTATTTAAAAAAGAAATCATTAATGGATGTTATATAATACTTTTTTTATATTTTTTTTTCATCATATATTTACATCTATAAATATATCTTTATAAGAAACGTTCATTCATTTGTACCTAATAGTACAGGATATATCTATTCTTAATTTTTTTGATAATCAAAAATGCTAAATCAAAAATTACTCATAAATCATTATTCATCCTAAATAATATTAACGCAAATTTAAGAATTGCTAAATTGTACATTACATTAATATTAAAATTTTTCTAATATAATCAAAATCATTCATTATATATATTTTGTTTTAATGTTTCACTTTTTGTCCATATTGAACGCTAAAGTGAGGAAAGGATAATAAAGCAACTTTCGTCACAGCATCTACTGTGTGATTATTTCTTCCACAGGTTTGAATGAGCGTACGGGCGGTCGAGGGCACATGTAGCTAACGATACACACAGCAAGCACACAAGTATATGTAAAGCGTGTATGGACGGTCACGTTTGATCGAGCCCTCCGCGTGTGTACCATCTCCTCTCGTCCTATGGCTTTCCTGTCCTTCCCTACCCTCGACGATCATACCTTTCCCCTCCACGTTGCTGGCAGCTCAGCTCGAGAGTGCGGACCGTTCAAGCGGCTGTCGGCAAAGCAGTCGGTATCTTCAGTTCAAATCCAAACGGCGACTGGTCGAGACGTCCGCGCGACTCTGCTCGATTTTGGGCGCGCGTCGCGACAAAACAACCCGTTAGGAAATTTATAATTTCGCATAATGGACAATCAGGCCGAAGAAATATTGAAGAACGACCAATAAGAACGAACGTATATTCGACAATCGTGAACGCAAGAATCGCAATCGTTTTCCGTTGGCCCGCCATCGTTTCTGTTCTGTGTCGTGCTTTCCTTCTTCTGGACCTTGCTGCCTTGGCGACAATGCTTTTTTCCCTTGCTGCATTTAAATAAATACTTATTGCACTGTCGCGACGCGTACGCCCAAACATTTAATATATTTAATCAGAGTTTGTTTATTGTTATTGCTTTTTTAACATAAATAATTTTCACTTAACTAGAGACACTTAAAGCACCAATCATTTATTATATTGATACACGTGACTGCGGATTATATTGTGTAGTGGAAGATAGATAGAAAAGAAGAGTGTGAGAGACAAAGAGAGAAAGTGAGACGGAAAGAGGTACGAAGTTCTTATGTTTTTGCATAATCGCTTATGGAAATCACCATATTATATACATTGTAAACGGAGACGTGTCGTGAACAATTAATAGATGAGCTCCATCAAACGTTAAAAATGCAATCGATTATGCTCCATTTAAATTGTCTAACAATCATAAGAGAAATATTTATTTAAATTTCACAAAAAATATTAACAATATAGTGACGAAGTGTTTCAATTATCGTAGTATTAGAACTATGTAAAGTATTGAAGGAAAGATAAAAAGAAGTAGTGTTGAGAGATTGTGAAGTTTAAGTTTTCGGGACTGGATCCGTCGGGAACTATTCAGAACCCTCTGATCGCGAGTTTTCTCGGAAGACTATCCGTGAGAATGGATGTAGTGTCGAATGGTATACTTATGCCAGCGAAGGTCGTGGATATTACTACCTATAATTCATCTTTTTATTCTCCGCCACCTACAGAAGCGTAAGTAATATATCACATTAATGTTTTTTATGATTATTATCATTTTTGAATAATTTAATAAAAATCTAAGATACAATTCCTAAAAATATTGCAAATAAGAAATAAATGTAATGATTATTTGAAAATGTAGTATAAATTTAAATACATATCCATTATAAGATTATCGCCTATTTAAATTTTTACCGCTCTTCAGTTTTATCTTGCACAAACTGTCAGAGTAGACTTAATATTCACACATTTTAATAAAACAAATGCGTATACCTACCAGTCTCTCGACTGTCGACGGAAGTATGCGTAATAAGTGCTTAAAAAATTTTGCCGCGAAACAACGGAAGTTTTCTTTTCAGTGTCGATATCAAAGGATGCGGCCTTATCTTGGGGTAGATTGTAACGCCGGTTTACATATGAGATTTCATCTCTATACTTGAAATAACATTTATACCTATTATTTTGAAATTGAGATTCTATTTTTTTTTTTTTATTACGATTAAAACTAAAAATATGTTTATAATTTTTAACTTTTTTGATATATTTCCTGTAATATTTTATAATAATTAAATGTTTTCTATCAATGATATATTATAAATTATATAATATTTTTTTGCATTTTTATAGCTATAAAAATAATTTAAAATTCAATATTAAATATTTTTAAGGAAGATGTATTTTAGAAAAGATAGAACATCTCTTGAAACTTTTTTAGAGATTCATATCGATTGGTCGATCTCCACCATGATTACAAATGCGTTAGTAGAAAGAGATAAAGAGAATTTTCAAAGTCACCCAGTAGGTTATTGAATAGTTAAGGATAGAGAGAAGAGACAAATACACAGATACACCATAAGGAAAAGCAGCAAGCATCTTGGAAAGAACCTCTGACTATTCCTCTTGTTGTTGCCTATTCTAAGCTCGTTTGGAGCCAGAGAGAAAAAGATCTCTCTGGGCCTCGTATAGATATCTGAGGTCTGCTTTCATGAGCGCGCGCGTGTATACAGGTCTACAGCCGGGACAACTCGTTCTCGACTAAAGGAGATTTAAACCCGGTTTCAGATCGAACCCGTTGAGAATTCTTTAATCGTTTATTTCGTTTGCCAGTGGACGGGTTTGCGTCTTCGTCCTTTAACCGGGACTCAGTGTATTAACTATTTTCTGAATTAACTTAATAGCCAACTTTGATAGCATTGTTCTCATATTATATAGATATTTATTAATGTATTTATAAATATTTTCAAATTAAAATTGCGTAATGCAAAATTACAAAAAAGGAAAAAAATAATTAACTAAAGTAAAAAGTTATTTGTTACATAGAATTCGATATCTAATCCCTGATATTTTTATATAAAATGTAAATTAAAAATAAGAAAATAAAAAGTAAAAAAAAAAAAGAAAATTGAAGAAGAATATCTAATAAATATTCTCTTTTTGTTGAAAATAAGAAATTACTTTTATAAAAAAAAATTATCTTTTATAAGAAAAAGAAGTAACAAAAGAAAAAAGTTTAAAACATTGAAATATGAAAGATTGACATATAAAGACATTGAATTTTGAAGAACTTAATCGTAACAAAAAAAGAAAGCATTATATTGAAAATTTATGCGGAAACCATGAAATGCAAAGACACATTGTTTCGAAACATAAGACATACTTAATTAATTCATGAATAATCCGCTACGCGCGCTGTTTGAGAATAGAATAAGGGAAGAATGAAAAGATAAATTTTTTTTAAAGGATATTATTCGAGATATTATTTACATAAATTAAGATGATTTTACATATCATTTTATATATTTCGTAATTAATTAGAATATATTTTTGCTATGATTTTTTATTTTTTTTCGTATTCTTCATAGAAATAAGCCTGTAGTCTTGGATCTACTCTTTTATTCTTTTTATGAAAGAAGAGTGCTAGATAGGATGGAACAGGAAACATGTGATCAGATTTTTTAGCGATGTCTTGATTGTCTAGGAGAAACTATGATAGTAAAAAACTAAAAAAAATTTGCAAATTTAGATTAAGAAAATCATTTTAAAGTCATTTCATGTTTATTAATTGAAAAATGTAATAATATAATATATTTGTATATATATTTTCATTAAAAATTATGCAAAAAATTTGAAAAAAATTACAGATTGAATGGATTTAAAACGCAACGTTTTCATCGTGTGTGGTTCTTTGTAAAAAAAAAAAAAAGAATCTGTCGACGTGTGAGGTTACTTCGATGCAATCAGGATGCATAATAAACTTAAAGCACGGTCCCCACAGTTCAATCTAATTTTAGAAGAAATTCAACGGACTCCATGAGGCATAAAAATGAATTCCTAGAGTCGAAACTACAACTCGGTTACATATCTGTGCATAAAATCTCCGCTAGATTGCGCTGGTATTCATTTAAATTCAAAACGGTGGAGTGCTCTTTTAGTTCACAATTAAATAACCGTTTAAGCAGCTGTGCTTCTTTTAATATCTTCATCGGACAATATTATACAGCAACGACGATGTATAATAAGAAAAGGATAGAAATAGATATAAAGAAAGATCTGAGAGCAAGTAACAAATTTCTCGAAGGGATTCCAGTTCTGGCAAGATTCGCGACTGGGCCCCTTGAGGAAGTCCCCCCGCAAAAGGAACGATCTTTCTCTATTTTCTTTCTCTCTCTTCTGGCTCCTTATAGTTCGTTCTCTTCTCTTCATTCGTATCATTATTTTCAATGTCGGGTTCGGTACACTCGTTTGAGGGTCGACATCGTCGTTGATCGTCAGGAGGGTATACACACAACAGCGAGCCTGATTTTCAGCATCTGCTCCAGTCAAGAAAGACCACAGTCTGGAACGACTTTGGTCTAGTAAAGGCTTTGCATATGTGCTTTCTCGTCTGCGACGCCTTCTTATATTCTATTGAGTCTTCCAAAAGCACCAAGAGCATATGTTTTCGAATTGTTCTCGACCGAGGGACAGTCAAATGATAGACTGATGCTTTCGTTTGACCAGTGACATGATGAATTCTAATGATTTCCCCTTGCCCTCGACTATTCCCTTTAATTGTATACCTCTGTTTATTTTCACTTTTTCTTTTATTATTATCTGTTTGTATTATGCTCATTGAATGATTTATTCCATGACGTATTAAATTATGTTTTAGAATTAGAATCATGGATAGGTTAGTTTTTATAAAGACAATGGCATAAGAAGTCAATTATTAAATCTTGAAAATATTCTCTTGTGATATTCCATAAATTTATATAACTAACCTATAATTTTAAATGAACTTAGAAATTTAGATTATTTTGCATTATATTGTGAAATAATTTCACAATAATATTTAGAGACATTCATCATACGTAGTAATAAGTTATAAATATCATTTAAAAAAATTATCAATTAATAACATTAACAAATAATTAGATTACAATTGAAAACTTTATCGTTTTTCATTTCTGGCAATGATGAACAAAATTTAATTGAAGTTACAAATGAGATTCCATAAATTACTAAATTAAGCATTTTAATAAATAGCTCTTTAAAGTAACTTTATTCAAAATTTTTAATTAGTTAATTTTCCAATTAGTTAGATTAATATCCAACTCTGAATTCTGAATATATCAAATGTTTTACTATCTATTCATTACAGTAACCTCGAATTCGAAAGTCTAAATAGAATCAGAATATTTGGCCCCTCTAATCAGTCAGTATTAGCAAGGTGCATATGGATCAACCATGAGATTGATTCTTCATGATGTGCAGCCTCGATTCCCACGGTAGAATTAAAGATTCACGAAGAGAAAATACCCATCGCACTTGTCATGGGAACGAACACCGGGTGGCTCGTCACTCGATTTACAATTGGTTACCATACGCGGGGTAAGGCATGGTATTGCACGACGCGCACCTCGAAAGACGAGGGGGATGAAACCGAGGGACCTTCCCCTTTTTTTCTTCTCTCATTTTTTCTTTTTTCTCTTTTTTTATATACCACCACATCTATAAGAGTACGGAAATTTCCCTCACTTATATAGTATACACTTTTGAGAAGTGACATATGCGTACTTTGAGGTTAGGTTAGTCGATCTCATCTTTAGAATAATATTAGAAAGATAATTATATATATTGTTAACTAGAGATATAGGTTATCGAATTATATTTTGTATGTTTGATATTTTTTTATAATTTTAGATCAATTCTGTGGTAGTGAAAAAAGATTTAATTGATAAGATTTTAATATAATTTTATATTAATAATTAAAATTTAATTCATTGATTTTTGAATCTTCAATTTTTGATAGAGAATCAATTTTCTTTTATAGTTATAAAAATTTTCTTACTAATTTAAACATATAATTTAAAACAAAAATATATTATTATCGTTAAAAGATGCACAGGAAATGGGAAAAAAAATCTGTGTGTTCAATTAGTAATTTTGTTATAGCAGAGCTTGACGATGCATTCGAACACGTGCATCTTTGTATACACGTGCATCCACATGCATACGTCATAAGAGCGGGTGCGCATGCTCGGGAAGTTCTATTGGGGGGAAGTTTGGCAGTGCGAGGGCATTGAGGCAGGTGGTAGCCAGATGTCTCTCCTAAGGACTTTTACCCTGATGTCGTTGCATGGCGTTCTTTTATATATATACATACATACATTTACACGATTTGTGCAAGAATGAGTAAGATATATAGCTATCCACAAACCCTATATTTGCGCGGGGAACATGTTCGAACCAGCAAACTAATTCGAACGTACATATATCTGCTCCCTTACATTGCGAATTGTGTAATACTAACTTGTGATTCGTTTCGAGATTTATATATGTGTGTAAATATGATTTGATCTGTCGGCAAAATTCAAATATAAAATCTTTAGAGGAAATTTGATTTTTTGCATCTAATTGGGTCAACTTAATCTTTCTGAATAAATTTTTATGATTAGAAATCAAATAGCTGATATTCAAATAAATTAACTATTTTTATTTTATTTAATTCTCTTAGTAAACACAAGGTGGCG